ATACAATGAAATTTGTATATCAAGTTTAAAAAGAGACAACTATAACAATGGATAATGTTTCTCTCTAAAAAAGTAGTCAATCTATCTACCCATCTGTCAACTTACCTACCCACCCACCCACTTGTCTATTTACCCATATTTTAAACATACATATTTAGGCTCACATGTGTATTTGTTTTAATTTCAGGTAAAAACAAATCATCCTCAGCTTTCAGAACAAAGACAAGCATCAGCCGATATGACAGCTCTGCCTTATGTATCCACCAGCAACAGCTTCATTCACATAGGTAAAGTATATTCTGTGATAACATTATCTAGGCAGAAAAAGTGATGTTAACAGTGAAAATAAAAATCACATCTCTYCTCTAACACACCTGATTCAGTGACTAAATTACCTCTTCAAGTTCTGCTGAAGCCTGTTATTCACCCATTCATGCAGGATAGTGACCCTCAAGGACCAGAATGCAGTAGATGTAACAATCTTAGCAACTTTTCATTTTTGCAGGTGTGGATACAGCTGAAGTGAAAGTAGGAGATAACCTGAAAATTAACCTCATCCTTAATAAGCAGCCAACTGAGACAAAGGACATCACATACCTGGTATAATTCTTTTCTCATCTGAACTGTGCAGGGTATTATGTGGATATGTTTGATAAGTACTAATATTCAGCTCTATGTGCACAGATCACAAGCAGAGGCCAACTGGTGAAGTCTGAGCGTTACCAAACAAGAGGCCAAACACTTATTTCCCTCATACTTCCTATCACCAAAGAGATGTTACCATCATTCCGCATCATAGCCTACTACCATCCGACTGACAATGAAGTGGTGTCAGACTCAGTTTGGGTGGATGTAAAAGACTCCTGCATGGGATCGGTGAGACATATAGCACTGAAATAGCAACTTTGAATCAAGATGGATGGATGTTAGTTATATGTTCCATTATTACAATTTATTTACTGCCATTTTCTTTACATGTAGTTAACTTTGGAATCAGCAAGACCAGTTCCCTCTTATGAACCTCGCAAGATGTACAATCTGAAAGTCACAGGAGATCCAGGTGCCACAGTGGGACTGGTTGCAGTGGACAAAGGAGTTTATGTRTTAAATAATAAGCACCGTCTCACCCAGAAAAAAGTAATATATATGAAGCCAGCCGTTTTTATATTTATTAGAAAAATTCAGAATTATCAGGAATGTTATCAATGTCAAATGTTGTAATTCTAAACTTGGTCTGTTTCTTTGCTACACTACAGGTGTGGGACATCGTGGAGCAGTATGACACTGGCTGCACACCTGGTGGAGGAAGCACCGGATTAAATGTGTTTTTTGATGCTGGGCTGCTGTTTGAGTCCAGCACTGCTTCAGGAACTCCCTACAGACAAGGTGATTAGATGATTTTAGTTGCTTTTTATAATTTCAATATTTGTTAAATTCATTCACAAATTATAAATGCAATCAACATGATGGAAAATTTAAGAAATAATCATTTTATGTCTGTGTTTTTGGAAGCATTTTCAGAACAAAACCTATGTTCATTCCTGATCAAAATTTTAGGACCAGTTGAAAGATGAAAAGAATTCACATTTTGCACTGTTGAATCGTAACAAGGTTCAAAGTAGTGTTTTGAAATGCAAACAGAAGAAATGGGAGTGGGACAAAAAATAATTATCTAAGCATTTTATTGCAAGCAWGGCAAAAACTGAAATAGGCARATCTCAAAAAAAGTCTCAAAACCTCTTAAAATGTGACAAAAAAGACTCAGTAATGAGTAGCTCTGCCATTCTCATCACTTCAAAAAAAATCTGCATGCTTGATGCTAGTATTTCTAGGAGTCAAGAGAGAGAGACTTGCTCCAAGTGGTGAAGATGGCTTCATGGAAGGCATCCACTGTTTGGAARTGGTGTCCATTTTTGTAAACTTCCCTTGCCACCAACCCCAAATGTTTTCAATTGGATTTAGATCAGGAGAACATGTAGGATGCTTTGGCGGCTGTGGTGTAGTGGTAGAGCAGCCGACTTGGGACCAGAAAGTCACAGGTTCAACTCCCCATCATGCCAAGCTGCTCTCTGATTGGCCAATGCTTTTACTGCGCCAAGCTCTTGACCAATTACGCGCATTCTAACATTTCCCCCTTTGTGAATAAAAGGCCGCAGGCCTGTCCGTCATCTTTTCCTCCATTGTAATTTGACACTACAGCAAACAACAATGCCAAGTCATGCGTGTGACCCTGGCAGTGGAAAGCCGCCAAATCACACCAAGAAGAAGCCGACAAAGARGGTCGATCAGAAGTTCCTTGCGGATTATACCAGTTTTCATGGCTTCATGGAAATCTCCTTCGCACGCCTTCTGTACTGTATGTTGGATCGATTTCTCTTTTGCGCACGGTGGAATTTCAGACATTACCAGGCACATGGCTACCGATGGACATAAACTGCATGCCCAAACTGTCTCAGAACAAGCAGATATCTGACCTGTTTGTGAGAACGGAGAGTGATATGGAGTTTAAGTTGACAAAAGTTTTGTTCACAAAATTCATAACAGAACACAACATTCCCAACACTGTATCTGACCATGCTGGCCACTTGTTTCGGGCGATGTTTCCTGACTCTGGGATTGCAAAAAAGGTAAGAAAAAATCTTTTAGCATGTTGTTTGTTTTCTGTCATGTTGATAAACAAAGCTATGTAGTTTGGAGAAATCTGTAGCAACACTTGCTGTGTAAGTTTTGTGGAGGTGCCAGGTTGAGCTAACATATTGTGGGGAGTATTTTTTTCTGTAAAACAGTAAAAATATAGCTTGCACATTTGGGCATCAATGTAGGGCCTGGAAAAAAGTTGTGTTTACGGGCACCCGCCCAACACTACTCTAAGCTTGTGGACTCTAAATGTTTTTAGTTAACTTTTATTTAAAACAATTCTCYAAGTCGGAGTGATGTCGGTCACGTGATTTGAGCCTCCATTTTGTTATGGGGGGAAACTCATTGTGAGACTCCGTAACAAACTGTGTCAAAAGTAGAGACTTCAAACTATACAGCTGTTTTTAAATTGTGTCGATAGGTCAAAAGGGGAAAACCAGAGTTGCGATAAAATCGCATATCTTACTACTTTTTTTCTGAAAATGAATGTTCTATTTTGATGCACATTGCAGCTGAAGTGAGCAGGAAATACGGTAATCTCGAAAAAACACGGCTGTCCATCATCAGTCTCATCTTTCTCTTAAACCGAAAAAATATAACCCCACAGTCCTCCTTATTGACTGAGGCTCAAAGTTATATGACAAAAAGTAAAAATTCTACAGGAAGAAGAAAAAAAAAAGTGGTGAACTTTGAATGGAGATTGGTGGCAATGAAGAGCCGGTGAGAGCAGGACTTTATTAATTAGATCTGTGACTTTTAACATGTTTGGATTTTATAGTTACTGTGTAGTTTTGAGTGTTTACTCTTCATTTCAGCCAATTTTAGTGTGTTTTAAATCAAAACAATGAGGCAATTCTTTTTAAACAAGGAGAAGCACGGAGGTCTGCAGAGGCAGCACAACAACACGTGTCTTATTTCTCTCCCCTCACTCTTGCAGTTAGAAAAAAATAATGTTTTATCTCTGGATGGTTTTTTTACGTGAGAAGTGTAGTCCTACAGCAACTTTCCACCATTTTTCCTACACAATTCTTTTCTAGGTCTTAGTTCTTAATTCCACGTTTGTTAATTAATTTTACTTGCCCCAGGAAAGCAAGCAATCCTTAATGTTGAGCACTGTTTACTGCACACACATGATAATTGTCTCATTTTGATAATGCTGGTTACTTARATCCTGAACATTTCATTTCAGTACAGTGCTGCAAGAACCAAAACCACAGCAATCTTGGATGTGCTAGCCCAGCAGGACGTGGATGGTGTTGTGTAAATCATTTAAAATAAGCCCTTCTCACTAGCAACTGATGGCAGCAATGATAGGGATGCCACCAAACTCTATCCCATAATTGTGAGATGTGAATTTGAGGGCCTTATATAGTCCTTCCAGATTGATCTTGAGGATCTGACTGTGGCATCAAGTGGACAAAACATATTTAATCTGGTTGATGAAACCTTAAAGGAACTAAACATTCCTTGGGCGAACGTGCTTTTTTCTGTTCTGACAATGCCAATGTGATGGCTGGCATGGATCAGGGTGTCGCTGGTCACATCAATAGGGTGAATCCACATATTTATGTCAGGATGTGCATGCCACCTTATGCACCTAGCTGCCAAAAAAGGAGCTGCTTGCCTACAGCATGGTTTGCKATGCACCATGGAGGATGCACTAATAAACCTCTACTATTACCTGGACAAGTCTGCTGACAGACAGAAAAGTTTAACAGACCAGCAGCTGGCCCTGGACCTTAAGCCTCACAAGGTGCTCAAGCTTGTGTCAACRCGCTGGCTAGGCCTTGGCATCTGCTTCATCGACAAATGGCAGGCGATCAAACTTTTCTTGGAGAGTGAAGTCAACAAAAAAGGGGTAGGTTATATAACATGTACTTCTATTGCTAATTAACATTTAACAGTGGAAAATGAGGCCTTATGTTATGTCTTGCAGACAAGTCAAAGGTGGTGATGCCCAAGTCAACCTCTGAAAAGCCAACTGCTGCCAAGAGTTCCTCCCCCAGGCCGCCCGTGACAGTGACAGGTAATTAACTGATGTTACCTTAGCAGTTTTGGTAACTAATAGCACATTTGTTTTGTGTGTACATATTCTTTGTATAGTCACTGTTGATATGGATTGTTATTGAGTTGGGAATTCCATTTTTTATAGGAGAAAAAAACTACTAAAGGACAATTCGACCTGTCAAAGTACCTGTTCAATCAAGAGGAACAGGGGAGAAAGAGAAAGCTACAGAAAGAGGAGAAAAGTAAAGAGGACGCCAGCAGGAAGATGAGAAAACTGGAGGAGGACTTCAAAAAGCAACTGCCAGCTAAGCTGAGATCTCTCCACACTTTCTTCAATGATGAACTGTCCTATGTATACTGTCTTTTCCTGCAAGCTACTATTCCCACCTATGAATCTCCCAACCAGTTCCTCCAGGATGAAAAGCCTTTGATACATGAACTCCACCATGTACTGCTTGACCAGCTTAAAAAAACTGATGGTTAGGTTTGTGAAACCTTCTGTGATTGTAGCTGCTGACAGCCTGATGGATGTAGATTACACAAATAAGGAAAATCAGCTGTCTGACAGCAATCTGGTTGTGGGCAGCAAGACCAGGAATTACATCAAAGAGCATCCCTCTCTCTCTGGCCTTGATGACTTCTACCTTCGGTTGAGATCATTCTTTGAGACCTCTGTGGCCTACATGATAAAGAACTTCAGACTGAAAGACAGTGTGCTTGTCAATGCCACAGTTGTAGACGTTATGAAGAGGGAGTCAGTGGAGTTTTCACAGTTAGAGTTCTTCTTGGACCGCTATCCAGTTCTGCTCCAGGTTGCTGGAGGTGACCTAGATGTGGTCCAGCGACAATTCCTACTGTACCAGGTTGAACAAGATGTTATCWGTAAGGACAGAGCAGATGACACTTGGCACACCATCAGTACCCTAAAAGATGGCAACGGTTTTCTGAAGTTTTCAGCTCTGTCCTCTGTCATGATGGGCATTTTGACTATGTTTCATTCTACTGCATCATGTGAGAGGCTATTCAGTCTGGTCACTAAAAACAAAATAAAGTTCAGACCCACAATGGGAGTCCAGACACTGCACAGCCTTACAATGCAAAAGCAGAAGATGCTTGTCAGTGGTAAGGCTTGCCATCAGTCTACCCCTCCTGAGGCAGTAATCAGAAAAGCAAAACAAGCTACTGCAGGAAAACTGAAAGCCATGAGCCTAATGCATGTCTGAGACTCAACATTCATGTAATGGGGTGTACGGTTTGCCACAATTTTGTTAATAAACACCCATTTCAGAATATTTGTAGTATGAAGTCATTATTTGCTAATAATTGAGCTCATTGTYTGTCATGTTAAAGAWATAAATTCCATATTATTTGATTTRATTTGATGATAAATATGCACACAAACTTCCAATAACGAACGCACGTCGCGCGCCGCGTGCCGCAAATGCTCTGAGACAATCATTATGATTTGGGATGGCTCCAGGTTGGCACCTCTGCAACCATATCGATCCTCTGGCTTAGGGCCGGTGAAATTCTTTTGGGTCTACCACTTGACTTTTTGTTCCATAACCCCAAGGATCTTTTAACAAGTTTAAAATGACTATCTTACTGCGTCCAACCTCAGTAGTATTTGCACACTGCAGGAGACCTTGATTATGTAGCTCAACAATCTGACCACATTTAAAGAGAGAAAAATTTTTTGATTTTTGTCATCAGGAGGTAATGACACTGTGGGTACCTGACAGAAAATGACAAGAATCCAAATTTTTGAAAAGATTTGGGTTTTTAAATGCTATGGTCTTAAACTTTTTGTAATCTGATGAACAGCCTACTTCAGCTTAATGGTTGTTTAAAATGAAAAGCTTACTCAGATGTTTTTTTGTGACTTCCATTTCTTCATTTTGCATTTTGAAGGTTTACTTAGAATCGTTTTTGATCCAACAGTGCAAAATGTGAATTCTTGTCATTTTTCAACTGTTCAACTCCTAAAAATTTTATCAGTACTGTATAACAAATTCTAGGTTTATTAAAAATATATTTTTGTTACATTTTAGAGGTGAAATGTAAACCAACATCCAGACGGAGGAGGGCCACAACTATATTGGAAGTCAGAACCACCCTGTGTAAGAAACACAAACCTGAATCAACAAAAACACATGTATTATCCTACTTTTTCATGAATCATCAATTTAATCTTTGTTAGGCTATACATTATCAGAAGGTCCAAAAACTTTTTAATGTTATACTAATGATTTAGTTTGGAGAAAAACTTTTTAAAAAACTCATTTACTTGATTATTTTTTTATTTATTAAACTTCACTTCATTATTTCAACCACAACTCCATTTTCTTCACAGTGAGTCAATATCAAGGCAATGAACAGCAGACTAAGTGTTGTTTGGATGGCATGAAGGAAATCCCACTGTCATACACGTGTGATAGGAGAGCAGAATACATTTTGGATGGTCAGGCCTGTGTTGATGCCTTCCTGAAGTGCTGCAATGAAATGGAAAGCCAGACAGATGAGATGAGAGAATACAATCTTAAATTAGCTCGAAGTAAGAAACAGAAACAAGAAGAAAGGAGAAAGTATTTACATTTCATTTTCTCAAAGGAAATAATGACATCTGATGTTTTAACATTTTAGGTGAGGATGATTACAGTTTTATGGACAGCGATGAAATAGTTTCTCGTACCAACTTTCCTGAAAGTTGGCTGTGGTCAGACATCATTCTTCCAGCTTGTCAACAACCCAACTGGTGAGTCATTTGAGTTTTTTGTAAAATTCATACAACCTTCAAACACATCCAAACATGAACACATATTGGTCAATTGATTTTTTTAAACAATCACCATCTAGACCAGGGGTGCCCAACAACGGCAGATGATGGACGGGTGGATCTTTCAGACTCCTTTACACCAGAAYCCTGTCACAAAAACACGGTTTAGATCTACATTTACTTTTACAAATGAAAACAAAGTTTGACACATAAATTAGTGCTTTATCTCCAATGAGCTGAAAACATTTCCCATGGTTAATAATCAACTGATAATCTAAGTTTCAGTGCTTTAGTACATGTAGTGCAAAATATCAAAGTGCATGTCGAACAGCAAAACAAATGAACAACAACATAAATATGGCACTAGTGAGAAACATGAAGCTGGTCTTTGTCTTTTATCAGCTTCTCAATATCAGGCTGCAGCTGAGTCACTGACAGGGTGAGTATGTCCTGTAGGTGTGGGTCCGTCAGAGTGCTCCTGAGTCTGGACTTGTTAAGGTTCAATACACTAAAGGTCTGTTCACAGATGTAAGTGCTCCCAAAAAAAGATAACATCATCTGTGCATGTTTCCTAACATTTGGGTACCTTTCTGATGAGATGTGTGTAGAAATCTTTGAGGTGTAATGACATGAATTTATTGTTTAGCTCAGAATCGTACTGAAACTCAATGAGCTCCATCTGAATGTGATCAGGCACTGAGTCCATATTTATGTTGAATGGCTGGGAAAACAGCTCCATGTCACCTCCACTTTTCCAAAAGTCCTCAAAGCGTGACTCAAACTCCTAGTCCAGGATCCTGAGTAGTGCTGCATGTTCAAGCAGTCTCTCTTTCACCAGTTTCAGCTCTTTCAGACTCGGGAAGTCTGCAAGGTTTCCTGAGAAGAAGTTAAGGGCTGCTAAGTCTTCAAACAACACAGCATAACAATTGTTGCAACATAAATGTTTTCATTAAAATAATGAGCCTTTTTTTAGCTATACACCCCAAACAACAACACATTTAAACTACACAACAGTGTAAAAGTACAGGTGTACTTCTGCACTTACTAATAACCTATTTCACTTAATATCAAACGCCATAATTTCACCATTATTACGTGAAGTGCATGCTGCCAACTTTCCTCTCTACTATCACTTAATAATTAAATCATCACCCAAATAATATGAATATTGAAAACAAACACCTATGCCTGCTTGTCCATCAAGTTTAAACACCACAGACAGCACTGTCCCTCCACAACAGAGAAAAAAGGCAGGACTTACTCATTGCATAAACTGCAGTAATAGACATTATTACATTTCAAATTGTGTTTATGTACCGTATTTTTTTGACTATAAGCCATACCGGACTATAAGCCGCACCCGCCATTTTTAAATAAAAATCTGCGAACATTAACATATAAGCCGCACCAGACTATAAGCCGCACCCCCAACATAAAAAAAACAGTACACCTAAATTTGCCGTAAAAAAAAGAAGAAGAGAGAATTCAACATCAAAACATAAAAAGCAAACCTTTAGGAATTAAAGTTCGGAGGAATACGGTTCATTTAACTGACCTTATTTTGGTAGTTTTCTTTAACAGTTTCTGGTCCAACAAAATGTCTCATTCATCTTCCTCCAGCGCACTGAAAACAGCGAAGTCCTCTTCAGTGTCGGAGTTAAACAAGCTGAGAAAAGCTGCGTCACACAGCGGTATCTGTTCAGTGCTGCTTTCTGTGCTGTCCTCCCGGGGTAATGCTGGCTCTGAAGCTGTGATGGGAAAGCCCTCCCGCTCCAGTATACATCACTGCATGGGATTCCTTCCCTGGGGAGTGCAATGAGGAAAAAAGTCTGCGGCTCTTCACTCGACGTTTATTCACAAACTGGTCCTGGATTAAGCTCCAAAGTTTTTATCAGTCAGATTCCACCGTGAAAAATGTCTGTTTTATCCCCTTTTTAGAGTTTTTGGCCATTGACTATCTTTAAATCACTGCTTCCTGGTCAACAGTCGGCTCTGGAAGCGATAGCTTTTTTCTTCATTTTTTTCCTTTCTTTTTTTGAAGCGAGTAGTTGAAGTAAATGAAGCATAAGAGCCCCCTGGTGGCTGAAGAAAAATTCCATGTATAAGCCGCACCAGTCTATAAGCTGCATGGTTCAAAGTTCAGGAAAAAAGTTGCGGCTTATAGTCTGAAAAATATGGTACACATACACAAACACACATGCACATATTTATAGTAATTACTCCCCAGCTGACAGATGTCGACAGAGGAGCTGTAACTTTGACCTGAAGTCCTTTACATGGTCAAACAGTTCTGTGATGACCTGTTTATTTCCATGAAGCTGAATATTCAGGATGTTGAGCTGCTCAGTTATGTCCACCATAAAAGCAATGTCACAAAACAACTTGTCATCTGAGGGGACTTGAGTGTCGCTGTTCTTGCTTTTAAGAAACTCCGTGATGGCATGACACCGCTCAAAAAATCTTTTGAGGACTTTCCCTTAGCTCAGCCACCACACCTCTTGATGGTACAGCACCTCTTTGTATCTGAGTCCACCTCCTCCGGAAGAGTCCTGAACTGTCAGTGTGACAGAGCTTTTGAGTGTATGCAATTTATAATTGCAATAACTCTGTGTACCACGTCCCCCAAGCCAAGTGATTTGGCGCAGAGTTGTTCTTGATGAAGGATGCAGTGGTATTTTGCTACCTTACCTCTGCACTGGGCAACCTTATGAGAAACTAGTGTGCCGAGACCTGCTTTCCTCCCAACCATMGCAGGTGCTCCATCTGTCATTATTCCGACCATTTTCTCCCAGCTCAGCACATTTGTATCCAGCACGTGCTCAACTGTTGTAAACAAATCTTCACTTTTTGTTGTGTTGCACAGTGTTTCAAATCCAGCCAGCTCCTGTGTAATCTCCATATTTTCATTCACTCCCCGTATGAAGAGCAGAAGTTGCACCGAGTCCGAAACATCCGTACTCTCATCACACATCACACACCAAAGAAAATGCAATAAATTTACAGGTTTTATCTTTAAACTGCTCCTTAATATCACGAGACACATCCTCAATGTGACATGTCACAGTATTTCAGGAGAGGCTGATTTGAGAAAAAGTTCTCACTTGAGACAGGCACATAAACACAGCARCTGTGGACAGACATTCCTTAATAAAATCTCCCACTGAAAACGATCTTCCAGTCTGGGCAATAAGCGCAGAAATCTCAAAGCTGGCCCTTGTCATGCTGTCCTGGGCTGTCGAGGGCCATGTAAGAGCACCTTGTTGAGAACAGCGTTTAGCTAGCAAGTTGGCGGTCTTGTTTCTTCGGGCACCACCTTTGTACTGTGAAAACGCTGGATGCTTCATCTCATAGTGACAACGTATGTAGTACTCGTTTATAACAGCAACAGACTGATTGCAGATAAGGTAGACGGCTTTAGAGTTAATATCAGTAAAAATATTCATCCTCCCAAGACTTTTTGAAATGTCTTTTGTCTGTGTGCCACTTATGGTGTCGTTCCATGTTTGCATTTGTTCAAGCTAGCAGCCAGTGTTTTGTCCCGCTTTTTTCGTTTTAGTGGTGCTGGAGAAAGTTCGACATCTGCTCAAGTAGCAAAGGCTCATGGGACATTTCATACTTCGATAAAATATTAAATGGTAAATGGACTGTACTTATATAGTGCTTTTCTATCCAACCAGGACACTCAAAGTGCTTTACACTACAATCTGTGTCCTCATTTACCCATTCACACAGCACTCTATTAGGTCTCTATGAAGCTAACGTACAATCATTTATGGAGACTAATCAGTGCCACTCAAATTCATACACTGATGGGACACACATCAGAGGCATTAGGGGTGAAGTTTCTTACCCAAGGACACAACAACTGAGGCAGCTGGACGGGGGATCAAACCAGTGACCTTCTGGTTCCAGGACGACTCCCCTAACCACTCTGCCACAGTGTTTTCGGTCTCATAAAATGTGAAAATCTACAAATATGCTTAAATATTATCTAAATATCATATACAATACTCACAAAAAGTTAGGGATATTTGGCTTTCAGGTTAATTTTATGGAAAATGTAAAAAGTTCATACTATAGTGATATCACATCATGAAAGTAGGACATTTAAGTAGAAGAATGCACCGGTAATTTCCTTATCTCAAACAATTTATTGGAACAAAAGTTAACAACAATGGTGGGTACACCACAACAAAAAATTTCAACGTTTCAGTAATTCATGTGCCCTTGAGCATCAATTACAGCTTGACAATGATGTCTCATGCTGTTCACAAGTCGACTTATTGTCTGTTGGGGCATGGCATCCCACTCTTCTTGAAGGGTAGCCCTCAGGTAATTGAGGTTCTTGGGTGCAGAGTTTCGAGTCTCTACAAGGCGACCCAGTTGATCCCACAGGTTTTCAATGGGATTCAGGTCTGGAGAAATTGCAGTCCATTCCATTTGAGGTACACCAGTCTCCAACAGTCATTCCCTGATGATGTGACCTCAATGAGCTGGAGTATTGTCGTCCATGAAGATGAAAATCAGGCCTGTGTTGTTCATGTAGTATTCAGGTAGTATGGGCTTGTCACTGTACTATTCACAAAGTGTAGAGCAGTTCTGTACTGACTGGAGACACCTGCCTACACTGTAACACCGCCACCACCAAAAACTCGTCTGGTGACAACAGTGGCTGATGCATAGTGCTCTCCTTGATGTCTCCAACATTGCTGGCAGCCATCATTTCTGCTCAGCGTGAATCGACTTTCATCAGAGAATAGCACTGAGGCCCACTGATCCGTTGTTCCGGCGTAAATGCTCCCTGGCCCATGCAAGATGATGATGCCTGTGCCTGGTGGTGTGGTCAGGCACCCTTGCAGGTCGTCTAGCATGCAGATCATGCTGATGTAACCGGTTTTGAATGGTCTGACGAGACACTTGGGTGCCTCTCACCTCCCTTAACCATGCCTGAGTTGAGTGACATTCATCATCTGGTTTCTCAGGACATTGTTCACAATGTAGTGGTCATTAGCATGGGATGTGGCCAAAGGACGTCCACTTGTACACTTTTCTGTGACTCTTCCAGTCTCTCTTTATCTCTTTTGCAACCTGCTGATGACACTCTGTGACACTCTAAGCTCAGTGGCCACGTCTGTCTGAGAACATCCTGTTGAAGCATCCCAATGCAAGGTAAGGTACTGCTGATCAATTGTTAGGTGTCATCTTGGTCTCAAGATGTCAAAATGTGAACAGCATAATGAGGACGACTGTTTAAACACCAGCTCTAATTGAACCAGGACAGTTATTGGTCGATCAAACACCTGTTGTGAATTTTGCCGTTAAGCTCCTCATTAGAAAACAGCAACTTGTGCAAAAGGAAATGAAATATTTAACAGTTGGATATATGCATTCAAAAGCTTAGAGAAGGACACATTAAGTTCACCTGTAAAGGTTTAAATGCATTTTAAGCTCGTCCTGAAATTTCACCCAAAAGCCGAATATCCCTAACTTTTTGTGAGTAGTGTATATTTAATATTTAATCTGAGTATATTTCTAAAAATAAAGTAAGCACCATGAGTGAGAACTCTCTGCACTACAGCCCCTTATATAGTCATTGGCTTCCTTTGAAGGATGATCGAAAAGTGTGAATTTAAACGGGATGATTCTCATTGGAGGTTTATGACCTAGTAATTAGGCCAACTGCTGGTGGGCCAAAATGAATGGCTTGGTGGGCCAACTTTGGCCCACGGGKCCCACTTAGGGCACCTCTGACCTAGACCTACCTCTGACAAAGTTTGTACTTTTCTGTGTTTCAGTGAGTCCACAACGTTCATGAAAGCTGTTCTGTTGCCAGGCTCAATCACAACCTGGCAGTTCACTGGCATCAGCCTGTCAAAAACTCTTGGTGAGCAATGTGTAACTACAGTTTGAGCTTGTTACTCTCACTTGTTACCATCACTTAAAAGTCTAATCATTTCCATTGTCTCATCATGTTTGGGCTGTCTCTCATCTTTAAGGAATCTGTGTTGGCAAACCATTAGAAGTTATCGTCCGTAAGGAATTCTTCATTGATCTTCGGCTGCCTTATTCTGCTGTCCGAGGGGTGCAGCTAGAAATCAAAGTAATCCTTCACAACTACAGCCCAGATCCCATCACTGTAAGTTGTATTTTTATGATGAATTGGTTCAAATTGAGCYCTGATATGTTAGCATCTGATTAAATTCTAGATCAAGGCAATTTTCTAGGAAATTTTGCATTTTCCTAAATTATCATCCTTGGAAAATCAGCGATGAAAATACATGAATATGATTATTTGGGCACAACTGCACAGTGGTTAGCATTGTCTCATTAAATAATCACACTACATTCCCAGTGTAAGTTCAAGTTGAGGGCCTAGAATCTCTAAACAATCCTCAGGTACTTCAGTTTTTCCCCAGAGATAAAAAAAAAATCTGTGCTACATAAATGGGATAATCTATGCAGACTTTAGCTGTAAGTATGTGAATGGAGATTCATTTGTCCTGCGTGTCTGTATGTGATGCTTTGTTGGACTAGTAACCTGTCCAGGGTGTACTCCTTCTCCTTGTTGGCCTGTGGAGAGGGACACCAGTTTCTTGTGACCCTGAGCTGCATTCAATGGGTAAAGAAAGTTCATGGTTTAGGCCTTATGCATTTTGCCTTCCCGCCAAACAGCAATTCAGTGTATCCAGACTTCTTGAAGTCCATGGCAGAGGTGTTGGAAGTAGGAATATGCGATTTGGCAAAAAATTCATATCACGATATACATTATGATGAGTGGCGGTAATGATATACTGTATATCACAATATAAAACTAATAATAAAAAATAAATAAATCACATTAATTGGGTGGAATAAATATGTATAGGTAAAAAATTAGAACTTAAAATCTCCCTTTTTAAGGGACACTTTTAAAGTCTCCCATTAAAATCTAAATTTAAGGGTGATCTACCTGGTTAAATCATATACTG